TTGGAGCCTTTTTGAGAACTTCTTTTAATATATTACATTAACGTCACGGAGAAAACTACTCGTTTTTGACCAAAAAAATGTACATGAACTTTTTTAAAGATCTAATTTCTTAGAACAATATTATTTGTTTCGAATTAAAACAATTCCTTTTTTAATTAAAGACATTCAATTTTTTATATAAAAGATTTATTATCTTTTAAATAGTCATTAGAAGAAAGTCTACTTCTAATGACTATTAAAAACATAATAAATCTCCTATATATAAAAACTGAACGTCTTTAATTGAAAAAGGAACTGTTTTGTATTAATATTTAATACAGACATTCATAAGAAATAAAATATACTTATTTAATTTACGAAAAAATATCTATCACAAATGTACTATTTTAATGATAATTGTTTTTGCAACTTTTGAAAATACAGGAAGTTTGACGAAAATGAGGCCAAAACTAGTTATTTTGCCGACCTGTTTTACATACCACGAAAAAATTAGGGAACAAATTTGGAACCTTTTGCAGAAAAAAAATTGTTCAAATATTGTCTATATGAAAGGCTAAGCATAATTTCGAAAAATTGTCCTTGAGCGTGTTTCCGGATCTATTTTTGAACAATATACATCGATTTATTTGTAATGGCACATGACGTTTAATAAGCTGTTGCGGTATTATCCAGTCGGTAGCTTGAATGTCACCGTAGTGTCGTTACTTTAGTGAGTTTCAAGCTTCCGATTGGACGACAGCATAACAACTTATCTACGACAAGCGCCAGTACAAATTAATTGTAGAATACAATTCATTGCAGAAAAATCTCTATCTTAAATATGGTAGTTGTAGGACGACACCAAAAATATTTTGAAAGGTTGAATTTTTTGAATATTCAGATATTTCAACAAAATTGAGACTTACATAATTTGTTAAGCGTTCTTTATGCGATCCGAGAGCAACGTTTAATCAAAAAACTTGGAGTCATTTTGAGAATATTGTTGAGGCTTACGTCAAGTACACGAAAAAATCCATTTTACATCCAACATCCACTTTAAAGTCGCATGACTTTGAGATAGCTCAGATCGTTTAGCAGATATCAATTTTAGGCAAATATCAAGCTTCTAAAGTATTTAAGCCAAGGGTCTCCACACTTTCGATTACAGGGGCTGAATAGGAAGTTCCTAAGGGCATCGAGTGCGAAAAATTAAATTTCTTTACAGGATAGAGTTTGTCACCTATTGTTAAATTAAATTTTATTAAAGAACGATAAATCTAACAATTCACTAATTAATCTTTCAAACACATATGAGCAAATAACCTCACGATTCTGAATGTAATATTGATAATAATTAATACACATTGAGGGGTACAATTTTAAAATTTCAAAATTTAACTACAGATACTTTTCTAAAACACAAAAAATGATAAATAATTTTAAAACGTATCTCAATGATATAGCCCGAAGTCGCTAAGAGAATGCACAGAACTGTTCCAGACATTTTCAAAGTATAGTCAAATTAAGATGATTTAAGAGCGGAAAAATTGTAACAATATTTTTTTAACTGCTAGCCTAGTAGTTGAAAAAATCTTAGTTAAATGCACAACAGTGTTTTGCGAGGAACTTTTGAGTTTTTTCGAGTCTGTTCCAGAGTGCTAAGACAGTAATTTTTTTTTCAAAAATATTTTTTTTCTTTTAAGTATGCCACTGAGATAGTATGAATTATTTTCTTATTTTGCAATCAGATAGTGTTAAGGTGACGAAAAAAATAAAATTTGAAAACAAGTTTTTGGCTGTAGAGGGGTGTGGGTGGTGGGACGGGGGATAAGAAACCTTTCCAAAATATTACTTTAATGTTAGAGTTGTAGTGTAACTACTCATACGTCATTTGGTTTGGGGGAACTTTTTACTATATTATCACAGGGGTTCCCTTTATTTCGTGGAATATGGCCTCTATCACCAGCTTTGAGGTCAATTATTTCCCTTTGTGTAGCTACTGGGACTTGATGAGTGTCACATAAAACCAGCGTCTTTAGAGTTAACATAGTTTGACGAGAATGTGCACCAAAGATAATATACCAATAGAAACTCACTTTCTGATTTGTTGAAATAAAATGTTTTGCAACCTGTGTCACTATTAAATTGAATTAGAATATATTTTAGGTTGCCGGGTCACATTCAAATGCAATTGGTCGGATATGGCGCCGTAGTTTGGAGACCCCTCGTTTAGGCAATAGGGTTGACCAGACGGACACATGAACAAACAGGCAGACGGACGGACGGAGGGACAGACAGACGGAGAGTCACCCGTTTTGCCTTCAATCAATTTGTAAAAGAAAAATTAAAAGTGGAACATGGATTCTAACTACACAACGTGTTAGAGAAAGTAATTTACTACATATAGGAACGTGATTTATCCATTTTTTCGTTACCAGGACCTAGGAATAAGTTTTTTCTGTCAAAAAATGCTGATTTCTGGTGCACGATTACACGTTCTTATCTTTCGTAGTAAGCTCAGAAAGTAAATGTAAGGAAATTCGACGAAGTTGAAAGCTCAAGCCTCTTAAACATCAAATCCGTTAATTTACGCAATAAACAGGAAACTGTCTGACACTATTAAATTCAATTATATTTTGATGAGTTTAGTCACAGCTATATTGACAGGCAGTACTTTAAAAAACTATTTTAAAAACCTCAGAATCACATAAATTTGAACATAAAAGTTTTTATTTATTTTCATTTAATTTTGACTGTGTAATGAAAATTAAAAACTTTTGTTAAAAATTCGGTGATTCTGAGTTATATTAAATAGTTTTTTAAACTACTGGAAATACATCTGTGGCAAACCCATCAAAAACAAATTCGTTATTGTATTTTAATATAGTTGTTTTATCTTATTTTTTTCAAAAACTGTTTCAATTTTTTCTTTTACTTTTTCTACAAACGGAATAAAGGACATATAGAGTTGTATATGTTGTAATAATAAATAACAATAAAAGTTGTATTAACCTAATTTTCGTCAAACTATGAATTTTCGAAAAATCCAAAAGAAGTTACAAATAATGCTAGACAAAAAAAAAAGTATTGTTGTAGCACACTTAGATCTTAAGTTCGATCAACTCTCATTTTCTGAAAACCTATCGTAAAGCCCGCTATACACGGTCATTTTTGCATCATTTTTCTGTACAGAAAGTGGATGGAAAAATGATGTGCGTTTGTTTCGGTACCGAAACTGGATGAACGTGATTCCGATGTTTTACACGATCATTTCTGCTCTGTATGCAATCGTGATGAAAATACTTCCTCCACACGCCGCAAAAAGCGCTGGAAGTTAAACAGTTGAACATCGCACGTACGTAAACAATTGCAATACGCGGGAAGAATGATGAGATGGTTACGTATTCGCAGTGAAGGTGGTAGATAGTCGTGTGAAGTATTGTGATTTTTGAGTTGGAAATGGAAAGGAAAGCAGTACCACTCAACCTCACGAAATCACAACCAAAACAGCACAAAACGCTCTACGTTCGAACAACTTTCCAGGGCACGGAATCGAAGAAAGTTCCATAGAGTAACACCAGGAGCGCCATAGTCAAACTAGATGCAATTTGTACGGAAAAATGAAGCATGCTTCATTTTTACATAGAAATTGCATCCAGTCTGGTCAGTAACTTGTCTGTACCGACGAGAAATGATGCAAAAATGACAGTGTAAAGCGGGCTTAAGGAAGTTTACTGAAGTGAAGTCTTACAGTTGTAGTTTTGGTTCGCCGTTTTGCCGTAACAGCGCTGTTCTCGCTGTGTCTTCAGTTGTTTCCAACCCACACGTAATTGCTTATAAACTTGAAAAGCGTAAACGGAGGAAATAAATAGTAATTGAATTTACGCGTTTAAAGCATCGGTTTTTGAATCATTACATTACGCAATAGTCGTAGTGGAAGGTCATTTAGGTTTGTTATCTTTCTGTTCATGAAAAATCCCTGAGTCATGAAGTTAAGTTGTTATCGTCTTGTGAAATTCGCACGTGACGTAAGGATTCAGCCAATATAGCCGATTAATAATGATACAATTTTTTCCAGTTCGATTTCCAATAAACTATGCAACATTACGAAATCGCTACATGACGCTGCACAACATCCTTTGCAAGAATGTGAAGGTAGGGGATAAAGATATTGGTATGTCTAAGGTGAACTGTATCAATTGTTACATAATTAAGGATCATAATTTATATTTCTAGTTCGTGAAAGAATTAAATTTTTACCAAGGTAGAACATGCTTCCATCATTAGTCCATGTAGTCAGAGATAGCAAACGATTGCGGCTTATAAAATTGGAATTCTTAGATCTTGGGTATTTCTTCAGGACCTCCCAAACAACTATTTACACAAAATTTCCAAAACGTTTTCGTTTTATTATTGTAACTTGTGTTTCATTAGGCTAATGTATTTAATTCAGTTTTGGAATGCATTAAGACATCTATTTTATGCCAAGAATTTTCACTACCGACTTCTTATTCGATCTCTTTTCATTACTAAATTTCTATAGATCTTCATTCAACATAACTATTGAATTCTTAAATTTCAATTAGTTGAAACTACTGCCGGAACGCTTGTTACGTTAGTCACGAATTAATTACTAATATTACATTATATTTTAATTTAATTTAATAGTAATTTTCTCTAATTACGTAGAATGTTAATACAATAATTTATGATAATTATAATACTCTCTTTGAATGAAGGGTTGATCTACTAAAGTACCACGGAAAGTCCACAAGGATCTATTTGTGAATATGACTCTTATCGTATCGTAGATATGCTTTTATCTATTGCATTTCCTAAAATTAATCGTATATAATTTGAATACTCATCGTGATCCACAAGCTATAGAACAGATATTAAATGACATTTCATTTATTTTGTTGGGCACTCTATCGACGCGCTGACTCACACCGTCTGCACCAGGCCTACACATAGTTCTCGTCGCGACGGTCAAAGCTACCTTGACGTAGTTCGCCTTTCAGACACAGCGAGCGCTTCGTACTCCCAAGGTCGATATAAGCCGCAAGCGCCGGACTCCGGCCGACACTTCGTGTGGTTCACTTCTCGCTCAGCGGTGGCGAGATTCTGACGCTGAAGTACCAGACATCAAACATCCTCTTGTGACTCAGACCACCTGCTTCTCTACCGGAATCATGCCCACTAAACATTTGGGATCTGGTGAGTTTCATTATTAACTTGACTTATACTCTTTTTTAGCAAGAATTGTGACAGTTTCGGGCGAACTATCTTTATAAAGGTAACATTTCCTTTATTTGTTTTCTGGAAACCAGTTGAAAAGGTGCTCACGGCCAACTGATTTGAATTCAGAATAATCACAATCTCATTTTCGGAATACGATTTTACTTTGCGTGTTCTAATCTTGCGCCCTTTGCCAATGTTTGGTATTTTAGAATCGTAGAAACCAGTATTTTGTTGTGTGTGTAACTGCAAGTATGGTACTAATATTTTCGAGAAGTTTCTGAAACACACGAATATCAATATTCAAGGCGAAATTTATCATAAAAGTCATAGAATGTTTGACTGTTATGCAAATAAAAGTAAGAATGCAACTCTGCCTAGCATGAAGGTTACCGGGGGCTTGCATTCACTTTCGAACGGTGTGGCGCGCGTTTGCTCAAACTGTCTTATTGCGCGTCGCGGGAAGCAAATCCACTAAAAAGTATTGCATTATATTGTTGAAGATTTTATAAGTAGTAACGTGAAATCATAGGTTAGTTTAGAATCTTCTTATAATAAAAAAAAACTCGGTCAACTTCCGCTGTAAAATTTGTGTCGAATAAAATTATGATACATAACTTCAGAATATGTTTCGAACAGACTGGAAAGTACTTCATTTTGATTACGTTATTAAAACGATCTCCCTAAGTTGAAAACAAATGAGTGAACATGAATTGTGTAGTACCTGTTTCTTTTCACACATGCAAGATTTTTGAATGAAAAGTTTTAAAATACGCTTTTCTAATTCCTGATAATATTAGTTGTTAGATAATTGCTATTTGGTTCTGTAAATTACAGCCGTTAATTATTAGCGAATAATTTCATATGTCAAGCTCAATATTTCTTTTAAGTATTATGACATGAGACAGGGCAATTAGAAAAAATCCCTTATCTAGCTTGGAAAATAAAATAGAACAAATCAACGCATAGAAACGGTCACATAGCATTTAGTCTCGGTGTAATTTATATAAGTTTATCGGTCACATTCGTCTTTAACACTTGTTAAATGCAACCCTACAAGTTTCTTTAGTGCACTTGTAACTACCTGTAGGTTAAGAAATTTAAAATTCTTAGCATCCTTACTAACCTAAATAAAGAATCACCCATTCATGGCAAGTTAAAATTATTACGAAAAAATTACATGGTAATCAAAGAAACCCACAATCAGTTTGCTTTATGTGCATGTAACTTTGTAAAACAAAACGTAATAAAAATGTTTGTCTTTATAAAAGTAATAAGTGTAAATTACATTACCAAGTTCTTAAAGTACGCAAGCAAAACATCTTCTGTAATCACGGCTACGTCATTTTGTAATTGCCAAATTTTAAATTCTTCATATGCCTTCTCGTATCGTGCTTTAGATTTTTCAGGGATTGAACTCGCGTGGCTTCCGCAGCTGCATCCAAAATTTCTTGAGGTACAGACGAATTTTTTGTGTCCATCGTCCTCGATCCACGGTATAAAAGTGTGTCGTTGAAATAGATGTATTGCAAGGAATATCCAACAATATCGATTATCGTGTCGCAACAACAGAATTCATGTGTTTCATATCGCAGTAATGTCCTAAATTTTCTCAAAAAAAAATTGAGAGATTATGGTGACCGATAAAACGCTGAACATACCACGAAATGTTAGTGTTATTACTGCCCCGTCCAAATTAAAAATCTCGGCTCCGCTACGCTCCGCCTCGATTTTTAACTTTTGGCATCGACAGTAATAACACTCATAACATTTCTAAGTAGGCTCATAGCTATTAATTGTTGGATTTTAATATCTTATTTTATAAATTATAAAAACACTTCGTGAATCAACACTTTATACAGTAATCCTGAGTATTCGAGTAATTCAACTCGATGGTAACATGACAGAAACGTGGTGTGATTTTTGATGGAAGAAAACTACAATATTAAATTTTTATTTAGAACCCTAGTAAAATGGAAATAGTTTTTCAAGTGAAGGCGTTTTTCATCTTATTACCACTACATCCAAAGAGTGTCTCGACTCGTAAGAAGATGAATGTTGAAGCGAGAGGGGGGTGGTCTTTCACCTTTGAGACAGCACACGTACGACCCTCGGTGACAGAACCGCCTAAAAAAACCTGCGTACATGCACTCCGCTATTGATGTGATACTTTGCCTGAGACTACTAGCATACTTCGTACATTTTTCTCGTATAGTCATCATATACATAGTCTTCAACACGTTTGTCTCTATTCCCCAGCTATTTTCATTACAATATTTAATTTTAGCCCCCAATTTAGTAGCATACTTTTATTGTTAAGAGTATTATTTATGTATTAGCAGACACGTAGTGCCGGGTATTCATAAGCGAGAAAGGACGTGCAGAATAAAATGAACCGTTGATAAATTCAGATCATTCTTCTTCGGTTACTATTTCTTGTCTTCTCTTCCTCTTATTTCTATCCTCTCATTGTTTTCTTTTTCCTATTCTTTTTCTTACACTTTTTTCTCCTCCGCCTCATCTTTCTCAGTTTCAACCTCTTTCACTTTTTCCTCTCCTACTGTTTACTGCTCCTCATCTCCACCCCTATCTCCTTCTTCTCCTCCACACCAATCTCCTCCTTCTCCTCCCCTCTCTCTTCCTCCCCTTGGGGAAAATCCCGTTCGGGGAAAAATGTAAGTTTCCACCCTATATCCTTCTGCTCCTTCTCGCCTCTCTTTTTCTCCTCCTCTTCCTCTTCCTTCATCTTTTTCTTGTTGCCTTTTTTTCGGTATCCCAGATGGATAAATGGATTTTAATCTAGCGTGACAATTGCAGGGTCACCGCGACACAAAAGGTGTAATGCATAACGTCAAGCGGGTTGTCTAATTGTCAAACGACAGAGATTCACAGTGATCCACCTAAAATTATTAGTACCATTTTCTTATGATTTGCCCTCCTATACACCAAAGAACGGTACAAAATTGTTTCTGGGAATATATTCGGTAAATTCTCTGTATTTGCGAAAATTGCAAAACATAATAATCCAAAAGTACATTCATAAAACACATCAAAAGATCATAGTGATTTCTTTGTTAGAGAAAATATGTTCTAAAAAATCAATGTTTAAATAAGATGAACAAGTTTTTTAAACGAGCCCTTTCCGCTAATTTCTGCTTGAAATTAATACATTTTTTAAACAATTCTCAAAAGCGAGCGAGGAAGAAAAAAAAATGGTTGGATTGAAATACTTTTGCACATTCCTGTGTAATGCGAGGAAGTATGTACTGTTGAGTAATTAATACTTTTTCGTAAATTTGAACCATAGTTAGTCTTGATGGCTTGTTTCCTGGTACGTGAACTGTTGTGGTCATTAGTCCCAATACGGTAGTGGTTTTATCCCGAGAGGTGATGAGATCCGGACCCTTCCTATCCGTCGGCATGCGGGGATTTTTTCCTCTAGGTATCTCCCAAGCGGGACACCACCCCCGCTGAGATGATCTATACACTTCCGAAGAGTGAGGTGGTGGTGGTGGTGTGTGTGTGTGTGTGTGTGTGTGTGTGTGTGTGTGTGTGTGTGTAAGGGAGAGAATACATGAAGAGGACATGAGAAAACGATCGCGCCCGGTACGTGGCTCGTGTTTTAGGGTGCTGCTTCGGAATTCTCCTGGAATTGATCCGCGAAACCAGGAAAGTACCGATCAGAGTACCCTGCCTGTGTACAATTCTCCTCGACAGCGGCTGAATTCGACCCAGCTACTTTCGAAAATCCGCCACCGCCGAGACTCGAACCCTAGGATCTCCTGGTCAGAGTACTGCAGAAACAGCGACAAGCATCTACTAGGCCTACGCAATGTTTTACAAATATTGTCTGAATATATTTTTTCACCACATTCAAATTATTTTAAAGAAACCTTTTGATGCCATATATTCTAATGTGCGGAATATTATCTCTATTATCACAATGGAAGCAATTGAACTTCGTATATCATTGTTGAATCCCAATTATGATTTCCACCATCTTTAAACTTCATATTTACTCATTATACGAAATGCAGTTCAAAAGATTTAGAGGTTACTTTAGGTCTCACTTTAAACTTGATGCTTCGCCTGTAGGAATAGTCCAGACAATCCAGTTGTGAAGACCGGCTTTTAGATTCAGAATCTAACTAGTGGTGCTCCAATAGCACACTCTCTCGCATTATTTGTAACTTTTAGAATTTTCCAAACTTTAGAGAATTTCGGCGACAATCGGATTTGCACAGTTTTTATCAGCGAACTTTCCTCTATCTGAGGGGGCATAATGAGCCATTTTTGACGAAACTTTGAAAAATTTGCCCTTGAGGAGTTATGTAAAGTAACCCCCAGGATCAAAAGATAGGTTTCAAATGAAAGTGACCGCGACGTCAGCCAGATCGTTTGGGAAATAATAATTTTGATTCGTATTATGGTTGCATCAAAATAACGTTCGTCGTGTGCATTGAGCTCGATCCGTTCAACAAGTTAAAAGAAACAATCGGAGCAGTTTTTAAGAAAAGCTAGTTTTCAAAATTGCTTGCTATGGTTTAACCGCTAGGGCCATGGGCGGACGGGCGGGCGGACATGAACCAATTTTTCGGTATCAAGAACCAAACAAATTCTGACTACCCAAGCTGTGATAGGATGTAACTGAACTCGTGAAAATGTCTACAGATGGTAAAGCTACATATAGGTTTAGATGCGTTATAAGAAACCTTCTGAGCATTGGGTCAATGGATCAGGGAAACTGGACGAAAAACCTGATCGAGATTGGGGTCGTTGATCCAGAAGCTGAGTTACAATACTTGTTTCAAGAATATTCTTTTTGAATTGTACAGTCAAAATGGTAATTGTACGTAGTACTTTAAATATCATTGTTAAAACCAATATTCCTTTTTGATACACGGCTCCTAAGGACATCCTACTTCCTGACCCATTCGGGTAGCGTATAAGGATGTTTTAGTACTGTGTGCGACTTGCAC